TTCTTTAAACAAATTTACAAACGCTTCCAGCCAAATTAGACACGGATATGCTCAGTAAGCTCGCATCATATTTAAAGCAAATACAATTATCCATTGAGAAAGCTCTCGCTGGAGCCAAGCGCAAGGGCATCAAATGGCAGACACCCAAATACACTGCAGACTTTCATTGTCATGTAGCAAAGTCAGAGAAATAGAGGCTAGCGGGGCGCAAGAGAGACTGTGAGAAATTGGAAGAGAAAGCAATACGCAATGCTAGTTACATCAACGTTCAGAGCGCTGTCGTTGCACAGTTTTTTCTTCTTATTCTACTTCTTCTTCTTCTTTTTAAATTTGTAGACTTTCTTTTTGCTGGTAGTGCGACTAGTGCGCTTAAGCATTTAGCTGATGTAACATCCCAGGCGGACCGGGCAGACCAGGCGTCACGGCACGCCTAGTCCCACAACGCCCACCACCCACCGCTCCACTATCAGCATGTTGGCTGAATGTCCTTGTCAGCATTTTGCGCAGTTAAATTTTCGTCTTTTTTTTTTTGGTAAAATCTATTTTTCATCTTGGATTATGTGAATACATGAATAGAAAGAAGGAACATTTTATTGTCACAAGTTGAAGCTGGCTGAAGTTTCTCTCCTTTTCTTTTTTTGAGTCAGCTACAAGCCCTTGACTGTTAAAAGCATTAATCAAATATCCGCAATATTTGTTAGCGAGGCCAACTGCCTAACGGCGAATTGACCTTCGCTTGGCCCAATGCAATGGGCGGATCGAAGTTCTCCCAGTGGCATTTGCATTTGCGAGAAATGTGGATGCTATTCATTTGTTGCGCACTCGTCCACTGTGCGAGCCAAGCTGGGCCGCAGCCTTATGTTTTGGTCTTCATTAGAGGCAGCTGCCGCAAATGGAGGCACACAAACACACACACAGCCATACGGGCTGCACACCTTTGGCCTATGTGCCACAGGCCCTGCAAAGTATGCAATGAAGTATGCAGTGGTAACTGGACATTTTTGAACGTGCATATGCAAGCAGATGTGTATGTGTGTGTGGGAGTGCGTGTGTGTGTGTGTGTGCAGCCGCCTGCAATCGTAATTTCAATAAAAGTTGTTACGTGCGCGTTGAAATTTTAATTGAAAGCACCAACCACACGCCAAGTGCGGCCTCGTTGTATGCCAGCTGTGTGTGTGTGTGAGTCTATCTGTCTGTGTGTGTGTGTGTGGGCGTATGCGTGTGACCCTCATCAGCAGTGAAATCGGAACAAAGCAGCGCACAGAGCGAAACGCATGACATTTCACATCCTCCACGGGCTGAAAGAATTAAGTTGTAACCGTGTCAGATGTCAAAGTGGCCAAAAATTCACGCAACGGCCACGATTCAGTTTCCATCTAGGTTACACCTATCAAGAGTGAGGTTTACTTTTAGACTTAAAGCTCATTTATAATTCATATGGCAAATTTGTAAAATATAAAATATTATAAATATTACATATAGGCCAGGAAATTTATTCAGTTTGCTTTCTGCAAAGATTTTCGATTCAATCGAATCAGTTTTGCTTTTCGTTCAAATCAAACCCTTCGTTCAGATATGCGGATAGTCTAAACTGCGTTTTAGTATTTGCTTAGTTAAACAGCTAGTCAGAACACACTTCTTTAGCATTTCTTTACGTTTCTCTAGAAATTTGGTAAATCTGTTTTGCTCTCGAAACTGAGATCATTTTTTATCTCATTAGCCGCTTGAGAGACAAGCAGAAAATGCTGTTGGAGTCGGTTTGAGGCTGAGTGAACGCATTCAAAACATTGACCACAAACTAAGTCGTTAAAACAAAGAATTCTGCCAGCACGCAGCTTAAGGGAAGTTTTCCAGCTCCTGCTGGCAGCAGGAGACGTTGCACATTTCTTTCGGCTGCTGCCAATTGCAAGTTTGCATGTAAAGCGCCCAACTTTATGCGCAACTTTTGCAATTCTATATAAGTGCAGGCAGCGCTACACACATACATATGCGAGCATATCTATACACACATACATATATGTATATATTTATATACATTCTAATTCCCACAGCGAATGCATGCAAATGTTGCCGACAGGCCAAAGGCAACTATTGAACAACATTTCCATCCCGAGCGCCGATGTCGTAAAACTTTATGCAGCAACAGCAGATGCGCGCCCCCACTCCGCCCCCTCAACCCCAATCGCTCCCGAAATGAGTGAGGTTTTTGGCTAAGAGAGAGCCGTAAGCTAAGGTAAACATGGCTATCGTTTACATGCCAAAATGCCTCTACACAGCCATTTAATCTATTTATCAAGCACTCGCTGCAAACACTCACCAAGGACACACATACACACACACACACACACACACATACACACTGATGTCGTTGATGAAGCTGCTTGGCCAAATATTTGCGAAATGTTGAATGACCCACCTGGCCGGCTGACGGTTGATGCCTGCACAACTGATGGCCGAAGGCGTAGAAAATCAATACGCTGTGCTGTGCGACGGCAATCTTTATAATTGATTGCTTAATAAACATGCAGGCTTAACCAGGAAACTTGGCCAATATGCACAAAAACTTTACGCAGCGCAGCAAATTATGCAAATGCACTTGACTGGCTGGCATGCGGCCTGTCTGGCTGTCTGGCTGTCTGGGCACGGAGAAGCTCTGCGCCTCGTCTGTGCATTGCTTAATGGCGCAATACGGCCAGCTCAATGGGCCGAGCACATAATTTTCGCAGCAGCGGCAGCGGCAGCTCATCAAAGTTGGTTCGAACACAAATGAAAGTTTTGCGGTGCAAGCCACGAAACGTTGCAGCAAGTGGCCGGGCAGTCAGACTGCCTTCCTGCCAGCCTCCTGGCCGCCTCCTGCACGCCTCCTGCCTGCTGGCCTGTCTGCCTGCCACTGACAAGCGTTTGGCAACAGCAACAGTAGCCAGAACCAACGCTTTATAAAATCAACTCGCCAAAAATCCACACAAAAGAAACTGCCAAACAGCAAAGAGAAAGACATGGAGAAAGGGAGAGACTAAGAGCGAGAGAGTGAGAGAGAGAGACCTGGCGATTGAGTGCGGCAAATGAGTTGCTCGAAAGCAAAGTTTTTGGCTTCTAACCTCTTTTGTGGCATCACGTTAAGGTGGCGCAAAGACGTGTCGTGACCAAAAGTTAAGTTTTTTTCTCTTTTTTGGAGCAGGTGCTGTCGTTGCTCTAAACCTGGTCGCTGTCCCACAGCTGCCGCTTTTAACGCTACTTCTCAACGTGGCAATTGCGGCAAGTTTTGGCCAAAAAAGAACTTTGTGGTCTGTCTGTCTATTTAGCTGTTGCTGTTGCTGCTGCTGCTGCTATTTCTACTTACAGCCTGCGGCAAGCAGGGGTGGAGGGAGGGGGGGCCAGGGCGAACGGCAGCTCATAAATTTCAAAAATTTGAAAACAACAACAAATATTTTTCACTCGCTGACCGAAATTATTTTAAATCACCTGCTGCCCGACATTTATCATTAGAGTCCTCCCTCGCTCACTCGCGCTCTCTCTCTCTCTCACTCGCTCTCGTCAGCAAGTCAGCGCTCCTAACGAGCAGCCCAAACTCTGTGTACAGCGCGCTCAAGATTTGCGAAGAGCACTTTATTTTCTACAGGACACTGGCACGCCCCCAAACCACAAAACAGGCAACATGCTCATAATGCTGTTGCTGCCTCTGCCGCTGCCTCTGCCTCTGCCTCTGCCGCTGCTGCTGCTGCTGCTTCTACTGCTGCTGATGTTATTTTGCCATTTTCGCGCTTGGTCGAGGAAAAACTGTTTTGTTATCACAGTGATAAATGGAAAATTATTTTGAATCGAGCAACTACTTAAAAGAATTCCCAAAGGTTGTAATAAATTTGTGCGCACACATGCACACACATTCCCCTTCTCCCCCATACACACACACACACATAAGGAGAAAAGGACTTGAGAAGTACATAGAGCACAAGCTGGTAGAAGGACATGGACATAATGCTGGCAAAGCTCTGCGGTTTGCTTCGTAATGTCCTGCAAGATAAAAAGGTGATTGACGAACCAAAAGCAAAAGTCATGGCCAAAGCTTTGGCTCAGCAAATGCATTTGTCGTTTGCTACTGAAACTAGTCGAAAACTATTCAAGTGTGTGTGTGTGTGCGGGTGTGTGCGAGTGTGTGGGTGACAGCTAACAAGAAAATGGGATTAAAGGCATTCCAATGCACTCTTAAAGCGCAACTGAACACATATATATATATAAACCAGAATCGAACAATAGCGCAATAGAAAAGCAACCTGTGCAGCTTACAGCGATTTAAGCAGCAGCAGCAACAGCAGCCAGCAGGCGAATGGAGCAGGTAACATCTATTTTGATTTCATTAAGTAAAAAAATAGCCTCCAAGTCGAAGCGGTGCCCTCGCTCGCATCTAGCCGCCAGCGGCCAGCCGAAACCACAGCGAAAGTAAACAGTTTCTGTGCTACGTTTCTTTCAGATTATTTTTCTTTTTTCATTTTGTTTTTTTCTATGGCGCTCTCTGGCTCCTGGCCGTTTCTCAATTAGTTGAGCTTAATTTAAATTTGTTTCGAGTCCTTGTTACACATTACGCGGCAAATTCTCAAGTAAACGCACGTTTAAA